AATAGTTGCCGAATATTCGGTATTCGGTCTGTGAAGAATGTGGAATATTCGGTATTTTTTTCAACTAGCATCATCCCCAAATTCCAATTTTTTACTATATTTAAAAAAATCGAGAAACTCAAAAAAAAGTAAAAAAAGATGCTTGTTTTTCAAACAGTCGCCAATTTGTGAAAAAAAAAAATTTTTACTCATCGCTAGTTCGGGCGATTGCGACAATCATTGTAGATTGATAATCTTTTTATTTCTTCTATTTCGGACGGCTAGGAGGGCTGAAATCATGTCAAGACAGGGGTGCCAATGTTTTGAGCTGCCAGTTTCTTTAATTTTCATCAACTTTTTTTTAGTTTTTGTATTGTATTTTAATAATATTAATAAACAAGTGGTAAAAAATGGATCGTAAAAACATTCATTGCTTTCTTTTACGACACTTTAAAAATGACCTAAAATTCTCGCTCTACACTAGAATACCCCCTTAAATGTGGACTAAGTAGCATTATAACGTAGCCGCAATTGAGCTATGTTATAAATTTTCAAATATTTTTTAGTTATATCATAAATTTTTCTTTTCAAATACATTTATATTTTTATTATAATTTAATATTTTCTCTTAGCAACTATCTGGTATACCGTTGGTAGCGTTGCAGCGGCTTCTAGTCGCGTAAGCGTTGCGATGGGGCAAGGTCATTCGCCAAATCGACACAACGGAAGCCAGGGTGGAGGATTAAGAAATTATCGTTCGCTCTACGCTAGCGAAGCAAACTTTTATCACCTTCATATCCACACTATACAAACCGAAGGGGTCCATTGCAGACGTTGGAACCCTAGTGGTGACATAGACTATGTGAAAAGCCGAAAAGCGGAAAGCATAATCTCCGGAACGCAAGCACCATCGGTAAAAGATTATTCGCATAGCGTTATGATGTCAACGGGAATGCCCTATCCCAATATACAGGTTTGGATAACGAATATATGTTGTATAAATGCTTCATTTGGAAAATATTTGACTATATGAAATATTACTTTATAGTTCCTGAATTTAGAAGTATCATGTTCTCCTGTTTCTATAATTGGAGTTTCCCTCCAAGCCAGAGCAGGCGATCTCGTTGCCGTCATGGCCACTGTTGAGGAACAAGGCTCGTGTTTGTTAGAAACTATTGCCGGTGTGCGAAAAGTTAGTAATAAACAATGACGATATTGTCATAAATAATAATATGAAAACAGTTGTAAATCTAATTTCTAATTTCAGAAACTCGCCGGCGATGCTCTACTTAACGGGCAGCACGTAAACATGAGGGCTCTACGTAGACGGATATCATGGGCGCCTCGTCGTGAAAGTTTGCATCCTTATAATTCGCATCTAACTGTTTATACCACTTTGAAATTTTATTCACAACTCAAATACCCTCAAAGGGGCAAATCTGACATGACTGATAGGGTAATGAATCTTGCTAAATTACAATTATATAATTTATATTTTGAAATAATTCTATTGTCCGGTACACCTTAATCTTTACGTCACGAGAGTTAGGGTTGCTCTATATCATAAGTGCTCTTCCCAAAAAAGGTATAAAATATATTACTAATTAAAGTCTATTATTAACAGATAAGCATACTCATTGAAGAACTCGGCTTGGAGCAAGTGAAAGATATGACCGTTTGTCGTTTGACGGATTCAGAAACTCAACGCCTGACAGTGGCATGCCAACTGCTGCAGGACACTGCCATATTAGTTTTAGATCAACCTACCAAGGGAATGGATATATTTGATACTTTCTTCTTAATTGAATATTTACGACAATATGCAGCTAATGGTATTTTGTTTTATAAATATTAATATATTAAGACAATGCAATTTTATTAAATTGTTTACTGAAATTTTAGGCCGTATCGTTATACTATCTTTGCAACCACCGACCTATGAAATATTTTTGATGTGTTCGGGCATACTTTTGCTATCAAGTGGTCGCGTTATGTACTCTGGTTCAAGAATTGGTTTTGTTGAGCATTTCTCAAACGTTGGATACCCATGTCCAATGTACAAAAACCCATCTGATTATTATTGTAAGTCAATGTTCAAAGTGAATATAATTCTTTATTATCATTTTTTACTCAATTATGTTTTCATTACAGTGGATTTAGTAACTTTAGACGATTTATCGGCGGCTGCGATGCTTGAATCTTCCGGAAGAATAGAATCACTTGCAGAAATGTGGGCGTCGCAAGGATTACCTAACCTAACTTACTTCCAGATCCTCCCTGCTCTACTACGGAAGGATGTTAAACCTAATGCCTTTATGCAGGCTATAATTCTTTTGAAGTAAACATTAAACACATTATGTTTTCACTAATGAATTTAATAGTATTTTTTTACATTTATTGAAATTTTTAGACTATTTCTGGTATACAGCCAACCTAATACAATAGTCAGTTGGGTTTTTCGTCTATTCCTGTCAATTGTTATGTCACTTGCTATTGGTGCTATATTCTGGGATTTGCCGTCGTCTGATCCACAATTAAATTTAAATGATAGGATTGGGTATCACTATGCGGTATCTGCCGTTTGCATTTGGCCTATATTACTTTGTGCAATTTATAGAGATATGAAAAATATCAAAAGCGTGGAGCGAGATGTGAGAATGGGAATGTACGGTCGTTTTACGTATATTTTTGTTAAGGTAAAATATAATAAACACCTGTAGTAATAATAGTTGAACTTACATTTGAAGTAATATTATAAACTAAATATTTGTTCACAGCTTTTATTTTCGATACCTCCGAGTATATGTATATGGGTAGCATATATTGCACCAGCTCATACAATGACCGGTATGATGTCATATACAAATCTACAAACTGTGGGATATTCTGCAATATATACTTATATAGGTATGTAAACATTATTTACATTTTTTTATCAAAATTTGGCTTCTTGTTATATCTTATCAATATACTTTAGGTTACATGGTTTTATATTTGATGGCCATACAACTTTCGGTTACATTTATCACGCATCTAGTCCGTGGACAAATAACATCTGTTCTAATAGCATCTGCTGTTGTTATGTTCACGCTTTTGTCAAGTGGTTTGACTGTACACAGCCTCGACTTAGGATCTTACATAAAATGGATGGAACTAACCTCTCCATTGAGATGGTTATTACCTGTAATAACAGCAAAAGAATTTAATCCAGAGACTATACAAGCGACGACTAGTCATTTATTGTGTAGGAATAAACAGGTATGTTATGAACAAAAAAATCTTACGCTTTTAGTTAAAATTTATTCATTTTATTTATTTTTATTAGGTTCAAAATCAGGACATTATAGTGCAGATGCAATGTCCACCTCCTAATGGTACACATGCTTTAGCATCTTTTCGGTTGCTACCAGAAAATCATGCATTGGATCCTCGTGATATGGAAACCAGCACGGCCCTCGCACTAGCATTAACGTGTGTTGGAGCTGTAATTCTAACAATAGCAGCATTTACTGCTAAATGTTCAAGTTCTTGCAGGTCGAATAAACGAAAACAAACTAGGCTTTGAATTCTATTCAGAATCGCATTTTAAAATGACCATTGAGAATTTTTATTTCTCTACTAACAATGGAAGTCTTTTTATTACAAAATAATGTAAGTTGGTATGAATATGCTCTACACCGAAAGGCATATGGTAATTTTTTATGAAGAACGAGCTCGATTACTCGAGTTCAATTTATCTAAAGTTGCTTTTAAAACATAATTTTTTGTTTTATAAGCGTTTATTTGTTTAAGTTTATATTAGTCAATGCTTTTAAAGATATTTAAATATGCTTATGAAGATATTATCCTAGAAAATGTTATGAGGAAGAAACACGAGAGTAAAAAAATTAACTTTCTTTTTTCAATTGAAAAAAAAAACAAATGTACAAACATATTTTTAAATAGGTTACTCCGTTTATATATGTATATATATATATATATATATATATATATATATAATTTTAGAAATATTAGAAAAATTTTATACCACTCATCAGACTATATAAAAAATTAAATAAAATTTAATATAGCGATATGGCGCATTTAATTAGTGTAATTAAAAACATAAGTGATATCGTGAAATAAGTATTATTGATATTTTCTGTAATATATACTTCTAGTAAAAATAATATTTAAATATTGTCATGAATGAATATATCATTATAGAAAAGATGCTTGCAAGGAAAAGTATTTTTAGCATGCTGAAAAAGTAGAGTGCTCTCAAGAAGTAGTTTGTCAATAAATATGTATAAAATGAGTGAATGACTATATAATAAAATAAGATGAATATTGCAATAAAGATCAAATTAACCTAGGTTCGTATGACTCCTAATATCATTTTTAATGAGTGCAAAATTAGTTATAGGAAGTATATCTAACACATATGAATAAGATTCCGTTTTGAACTTATATAATAAGCCGTATTGTAAGATACTCCCAAATATAAAAATGCCTATGAAACTAATACGAGTGTAAGAGATATAATATTATATTGCGATATATAATAAATTTAAATATACCAAATTATTGATATTTCAATACTTTTCTACTTTCACCTACCAAAGTGTTGTAGCCGAATTAAACTTCAACGTTAAATAAGTTGTTTATAAATATATATCTCTTACATACTTTTTGAATGTTCTAGAAGATAATATATTCTTTAAATATAAAATAATATTATAATAAAAGTATTAATACAAAGTATTATTTTATATCGTGTCATAAAAGACTTTATTTAGAGTTTATGTGTGTAGTAGAATTTTTACACATTTTTACACACAAAAGTAACATTTTAATTGTTTCTCATAATAGTGGTATATTTTAATTTACTTTCAAAAAATATAAAATAATATTAAAAATATTTAAAATACATTTGGAGACTTTATAGCAGACTTGGCAGTGTCCTGTATAAAAATTTGTTCGGAGTTAGAAATGATATCTCATGAAATAAAATAATGCATAAAATTGAACGTTGACGGCCTAGAGAAAATAATAGATTTTTAAATTATGTCACATTATTAGTAAGCATGTAGCAGTTATTATAGTTAGAATTTAAGCGTATAAATTTTTTAAATCAAAATAATATATTTTATTTTAACAGGTTTCAATAATATGCAATAATATGCAATCACTGGAGTATAATAATATATAATATGGTAAGTAATCTAATTTTGGTATTTCTCTACAATTTAGTAGTTTAGAATTGATAAACATAATATCCGTGAATTTGAATAACTTGTACTTCAACAATCATCTCGATCAGTATTTTTGCATTGAATACTTTATAAATAAATAAATAAATATATATATATATATATATACTAGCAAACCCGACGAACTCCGTTTTGCCACCAGATGGTTTCGTGAGAAAGATGAAGAAATTTTTTGTTTGTTTTATATTTGAAAAAGAAAAATTTTATCAGGAAAGAAAACCCGACTTATTTTTTATATATAGAAGATAATCTATTTGCAATTATTTAAAACAATTGCAAAATTGATTATTTTAATACTCGAATTTTAATTACGGTGCGTGAAGTTCCAGCAATTTGCATTAGGGCACGATGCCATGCACCACTAATTTTCTTAGCTATAAACCTTGCGGAGCCCGAGACCTTTCCAACGAATGCAAAATTGTCGAAATCGGTTCGTGCGTTCTGGAGTTATTTCGTCAGGAAGGAAAACCCGACTTATTTTCATATATATAGAGACATATATATATATATATATATATATATATATATATATGTATATATATATATATATATATATATATATAGAAGATATAATTATTTTAGAAAAATTCAACAAGTTCGTAAATTTTTAGTTACTATATTCACCTTCATAACGTAAAGGAGTTTTGCCGAGCACCAAGAGATGCCACATGCGGTAAATAAATATCATAGATAAATATTTACAGACGTGTTATGAACCTAACTACAAGTAAAATATATGTGATAAACCATTTTCGTTATGATTTGAAATTTTAAAGTAATATTATTAATACAATACTCATTTGTAAAATTTCATATTACCATCTTTGTCTAATTTCACATAACTGTCCTCAAGCTTGGTTAAACTCCAACTCGAATCAGAGAAGAATAGTGTAAGAGATTTCTCATTGCCATTTTACACTGCAGTGCCCGAAATGAGCTATTTTCAATTGAAAACATATTTTTAATCTATATTTTCTAGTAAAAATAGATATCACTGCTGCCCGATGTCAGGTTGTCCAGAGCGAGATTCGCACTCACGAGTCCGAAAGCTTGACCATTGGAGTTACCTATATATATTCCACATACTAATTCGAAAACAAGACAATGTAATAAACTTTTCCTATATAAGGATGTTATCATAATTAAACGGAAATTTGCTTATGCTTATCACGCTGTTTATAGGAAGTGGGTACAGTTATCGCATAATGACTATGAATCAGTGATAGCTCCGTTTAAATCACTTTGGCGGTTAGCTCAGGTATCATGAAAATAAATCTATTGACAACAAATTCAAGTATTTTATTCGCAAAATAATTAACTGTTAAAATTTGTCGAGCAACAACATTCATTTTTTTTTTTTTTTTTTCAAAATTCCATATGTTGGGAAATAACGAATAACAAACCATCAATATCATTTTAAATTATGTAAATGTAAATGATTCATTTATAAATAAACCTATATTTAAATATAAGGTGATACCCCAACATACGAGTTTAATTCGTAATCACGCTCGTATCTCGAAGCATTTTTTTCATATAAATGCACTGAAATGCCATGAACTTGTTCAACCACTGTGGTTTTTGTCAAGTTTTTTTGATTATAAAAATAAATTTACTATTTATTCATTTAATTATTGTTTTTTCCTATTCATTCATAATATTGCGCAAATGAGTTAGACATGTTTCGTTGAACAACTCTCATGCTCAAACTGTTGCAAATTTTCGGGGGTGATTTTTAGCCATAAACTTTTAGAGCTTAGAAAGCTGCTTATGAATTATTGTAAAGCTCTTATAACCTTCAACTCATTTTGTTTGAACACAGTGCAAGTCTATGTGTTACGCTCGTACATCCTTGCCCATTTATAAATAAAGAGTATATAATTGTGTAGTAACGATTTATCCTCACAAAAATATCGAAGATTATTTTGAATTTTTGACTATACATTATAATAGAGATTGTACAGTTATATATGTAGAGTTTTCGTTTTCTGCTTTTTGCAAACAAAAATATTTACTTGTCCTTGCCATTATCATATTTTTAATAATTTCTCGCCCTAATTCAAGAGTCATTTTCTTTGAACCCATGGATATAAAAGTAAATATTTTTGTTTGCAAAAAGCAGAAAATGAAAACTCTACATATATAACTGTACAATCTCTATTAATGTATAGTCAAAAATTACAAACGTAAAAATAATCTTTAAAATTTTTGCATGGGTAAATCGTTACTATACAATTAATATTAATATAGAATTGAAATAACTAACTTTAAAATAATTTACTATCATAAAATATTTCTATGGGCGAGAGAACAATGTTACAACCGACGAAATTTTAACATTTTTCGAGAAAACTCTTACTCGCTGAAAGCTCGTATCTCAAATTTTGCTCGTAAGTCAAAGCAAACAAGCTCTTTCGGAAGCTCGTATCTCGAAACACACGTAAGTCGGGATATATCGTGAGTAAATATTCTGCTCAGTGTAAATCTTACAGTTTACAGACCACGTGGTGGATTATATAAGACAGGGACACATATAGTATATATCCCCACAGAGTGAGGTAATATCTCATTAAAAATAATTTTTACAATTTTTGCATTGGTAAATCGTAACTATACCATTAATATTAATATAGAATTGAAATAACTAACTTTAAAATAATTTACTATCTTAAAAAATTTCTATGGGCGAGAAAACAATGTTACAACTGACGAAATTTTAACATTTTTCGAGAAAACTCTTACTCGCTGAAAGCTCGCATCTCAAATTTTGCTCGTAAGTCAAAGCAAACAAGCTTTTCCGGAAGCTCGTATCTCGGAACACACGTATGTCGGGATATATCGTGAGTAAAACTTCTGTTCAGTGTAAATCTTACAGTTTACAGACCACGTGGTGGATTATATAAGACAGGGACACATATAGTATATATCCCCACAGAGTGAGGTAATATCTCATTAAAAATAATCTTTAAAATTTTTGCATTGGTAAATCGTAACTATACAATTAATATTAATATAGAATTGAAATAACTAACTTTAAAATAATTTACTATCATAAAATATTTCTATGGTCGAGAAAACGTTACAACTGACGAAATTTTAACATTTTTCGAGAAAACTCTTACTCGCTCAAAGCTCGTGTCTCAAATTTTGCTCGTATGTCGAAGCAAACAAGCTCCTTATGAAGCTCGTATCTCGTAAGTCGGGGCACCACAGTATATCGTGAGTAAGTTTTCTGTTCAGTGTAATTCTTACAGTTTACAGACCACGTGGTGGATTATATAAGTCAGGGACACATATAGTATATATCCCCACAGAGTGAGGTAATATCTCATTAAAAATAATCTTTAAAATTTTTGCATTGGTAAATCGTAACTATACCATTAATATTAATATAGAATTGAAATAACTAACTTTAAAATAATTTACTATCATAAAATATTTCTATGGTCGAGAAAACAATGTTACAACCGACGATATTTTAACATTTTTCGAGAAAACTCTTACTCGCTGAAAGCTCGCATCTCAAATTTTGCTCGTAAGTCAAAGCAAACAAGCTTTTCCGGAAGCTCGTATCTCGGAACACACGTAAATCGGGATATATCGTGAGTAAGTTTTGTGTTCAGTATAAATCTTACAGTTTACAGACCACGTGGTGGATTATATAAGACAGGGACACATATAGTATATATCCCCACAGAGTGAGGTAATATCTCATTAAAATTTTGGAGGAGGAATATCTGTTCGCCGTATACGGTTAAGTTAACCTTATTTGGCTGCGGCTGTTTCTAAATATGGCTTTGGGGCCGGACTTATTTTAGTGAGTGCCTATTAGTTAACTAATGATTCTTCGCGTTGTTATGACGCAAACGATGTAACTTAATATTTTCCTTTCGATCTTGTGTAGTAATAATTCGAATCTATTTTTAACGCGAAATAGCTCTATTTATCATCAAATTTAGAGCTATTTTCTCGCGGAGGATAATAAAGTCATATAGGTCGGGTTACTACAAAATTGGATATTTGACAGTGATACGACGTATCCGTTCCTCCCTTTCTTGCTTTTGACTTGGAACAAGTGCGACAGCATCAAGTCGTGCTAATCTTATTCCTGTCGTCGCGAATGGGCGGTCCTTCGTCGCGTAGCGAGCCGAACGCGCGGAACCGAAGCCGAGCACGTTGCGCTATCGACTCTCATGACGAGACGGATCAGTTTAGTGTTCTGCGCAAAGAACTTCGCTTGGTAGCGATACTGTGTAGTGTGATCTGTGCTTGTGTGTTTGTGCCTCTGTGCTCTGTGAACACAGTGCCGTGAGTGACGTATGTGATTATAGATTCTTCTAGTGGACTGGATTCACGATTTACCATGGATTATAACATGGGATTACTCAGTGGTGATACGCCATCTGAAATTTACGGAAATCCCAATGTCACCCTTGGCAGATCTTCCAGCGGCCTCACACAACAAATGTCTCGAGCCGGCATGCTCCAAACAAATTGTGGCGGTCTTAATAGAGGTCTTAAAAGGCCTAGCTCAGATTCTTGTTTTGATGACAGAGGAATGGGCTCGGGAATAGGGCTCGATGCCTGTGGCGTACAAGACGTCGTAGATGACAGTTATACGTCAATACAACAAAAGAAATCGCCACCTTCCAATGGAAAAAAGACTAAGGGGCGCGTTAAAATAAAAATGGAATACATAGATAACAAATTAAGGAGATACACGACATTTTCTAAGCGAAAAACTGGCATTATGAAGAAGGTACGATTTGCAAACTAAACATAACCTTATCAGATGGCTTAGTTGTCAAACATAACATCGTGACCGCTCGTGGACCCTCGCGTGTTTTCGTGCGCTCTCATGGGGATACCCATGTGAATCGGAACGCTCTATCTTCGAACAAACATGTTATTGTCATTTTTCTATTTTTATTTAATTCATCAATATGATATGTTGTTTTACTAAATTAATCTCTTTTCATATTTGATTTTAATCACTTTTGGATATTATGACTATTATTAAACGTAATTTAATTTTGTTTTATAAAGTTTATCAATTCAGTATACGTTTGATAACAATGAATGTTTATTATAATACAAATTAATTGCAATAGTTAATATAATATATCGAATTATTGATTCGTTTTTTAGTCTTTATCTTGTAAACAGTCATTGTCTTCAAAAATATTATTCAATTTCATGTGCATAATGTTTTCAATTCATATTATGATCACTTTCGGCAAATGATAACATGTCGCGACACGTAAATCGAATATCCGCGACTTATTTTCGCGATTATAATCTTAATAATAATAATAACATAATTATTAATAACATATCGTGGCTGTTTTTGGATTTTGCGTGATCAGATTGATGTTTGAAAAATGAACTCTTTCATTAACAGTTGTGCAAACAACATTATTAATAAAAAAAACAACATTATTAATAAAAAAAACAACATTGGACTATTTTTATACCAATCGATAATTAATATAAACAAATATAGTTATCTGACATATATATGCGTAACAAATATTATTCGCATATATATATATATATATATATCCTGATGAGATTTTTGCAAACAATATGTTTAGGAAAAGAAAATAGATTTTTCTTAAATAATGAATTAAATTGTAAAAAATATAATAATGTACAGAAATATAATAATATGTTCAAAATAAAAATGATAAAAATAAATGAGTGGATTATCAAAACAGGATATTAAACATAATAGAAAATTTTTTTGAAAGTTATGGAAAATTTTTATATTTATATAAAAAAGTTATTATATTTCTGTACATTATTATATTTTTTACAATTTAATTCATTATTTAAGAAAAATCTATTTTCTTTTCCTAAACATATATATATATATATATACAGTATATATGTATATGTATGAATATGTATGTATGTATATGGTGTTCCATGGTGTAATGGTTAAGCTCATCCGTAAGCTGTGGATAACCTGACATCATGCAGTAGTGATGTTCATTTTTGCTTGAAAATATAGATGAAAAATATCTTCACTCTTTTTCGGGCACTGCGGTGTGAAATTGCAATGGGAAACCTTTCACACTATTCTTCCCTGAATCAAGTTAGAGTTTAATTCATCTCACGGATCTGCCCTTACCACCCTTTTTTTTTTCAAATGAATATATGATATAATTAGCTGCCAATTTGTCGCATTAAAGAATTTGTTAATATTTAAACTTGTTTATTTTAACGTTTTACCATTTCATATGTGTCATCAATCAGCAAATCTAAGTTGTAAAATATTTCAAGTGATTTTTTTTAAAAAAATCATTGATATTTCTAAAAAATGCCAGAAATAACTAATCATAAAATTAAAAATTTGATTATATATATTAGGGAGGTCCTTAATATGGACATTTTCCAATTTACTTGCTCCCAGGGGCTCATATGCTTCCAAATTGATAAAAAGAATCCTCTATAAGTTTTAGCTCTTAATATTGTCTTTTAGATAGTGCGCAATTTTATCAAAGTTTTGTATGGAAATAGCATGCGAAAATTTTCAAAAATTTTAAAAATGTTTTTTAAGTATAACTTAGCAAACAAATGAATGAGTTGTATTCAAAACTCGACGCTCTACAAAATAAATTATAAAAGTTTGTAGAGCGTCGAATTTTCAATAAAAGATGACACGAATTGTCACTTTCAATTCATTTGTCGCTAAGTTATACCTAAAAAAAACATTTTTGAAATTTTCGAAATTTTTCCATGCTAGTTCCATACAAAGTTTGATTGAATTGCGCACTATCTAAAAGTTAATATTAAGAGCTAAAACTTTTTGAGATTTTTTTTATCAATTTGGAAGCATTTAAGCACCTGGGAGCAATAAAATTCGAAAATGTCCATATTAAGGACCACCCCAATCTATATATATAAATATATATATATATATATATATATATATATATATATATATATAAATTTTATTTTGATTCATTTATTTATTTTCACTAGTATACGTATCCAAGAATATTAATTTAAAAATAGTTTATCTCTATAGATTATTTTCAAATATTTAAAAGAAGATATATAATTTAGGTCAAAAATCGTGCCAAGATTCTAATAGAAAGATTTATAAATGTAGAGTATTCCATTATGCTTAAAAATACCATATACATTTAAACACCTTCAAATATAAAAAATAAACTTTTTCAATGTTACGTCATTTGGGATATTCTATATATATAAATAAATAAATATATATATATATATATATATATATATATATATGTATATATATATATATATATATATATATCACATCATTGTCTATCAGGTAACGCGCGATTGATACAGATAGATTAATACTTAATTAATTAAAATTATCACTTCACTATTTACCAAGATGGATTATTATTTACCAAGATTATTACCAAGCAAATTCCAAATATAGTACAAAACTAAATTCTTAAGATTTGGTATAAGAATTTTCCGGTATCATATCATATTTAAACATCCTGGGGGGTCGTTCATTAATCTCGTGAGGTTTTTAGGGGGAGGAGGGGTTTGACAAAAAATCACTAAATATCACGTGAGGGAGGAAGGGGTGTAGTAAGATATCACGTGTATTCATTTGTTACCAGATTTGAAAAAAAATCTAAACATTTAAAAAAAACAAATTATTACAATTTTTTCTCGTAACTAAAATACACGTGATGTTTGCTGGGGGAGAGAGGTTATTTTTGAATATCAACACTTATCACCAAGGGAGAGGGGGGGGGTTCCAAAATCCTTAAAAAATTGACCACGTGATTAATAGACGCCCCCTTAATATGTTTAATTCGGTAAAGATAGATGTAAATACAATATATGAATTATCGACCCAATTATTCTACGATTATTCTAATTATAAGACAATTTCGCTAAAAAGCTCTAAAAACATATCAACATTTTAAAGATGGCAAATTTGAATTCAAATTTGATAAGAGTAATATTTAAATCGCAGTAATGAATGTTTTGTCTGTATTTTAAAAAACTCAAAATTCTAATTTGAAATTTCAGATGGTACATAAATCAAGCATGATGATGCATTTTAATAAAAAAAATTCCAGACAAAAAATATTAAATATGCGAATGAATTATTTAAAAAAAACGATATATTATATTACAATGCTAATGTTTTAACTCGATTTAACGTGAATATCACAAGAATTTAAAAAAAATATATAATAAGATGAAACAAACAGTATATAGAATACAAATATTGAATAATTGATTAATGATTATTGAAATAAATGAATTTAAATTTACACCAGAACTATTGTTAATTTAAATCTAAAGCTATTTAATAACGTTATAATAATATTTACATATAGTATATGCATTATATAATGTATTGGAATAGTATATATATATTAATTTGGAAATATGAACAAACAACACTCTTTTTTGCACTAATTTATTAAATAATAATTTTCACAAACGTTTCGAGACTAGGGTTTGTCTCATCATCAGTGTGTTATAATTTAAAATTTAAAATATGGAAACCTAAATTAGCATTATGTGTTATCCATTACAAGTCGTTCAAAATACTCAGTACAGTATTTTTAGGATTTAGTGGTCCTAGTGATCTAGTGATCCTAGTGATCTTACGGTTTAGATATTTCTGAAAGAAAACATATAAAGTATTATACATCGTTAGAAAGGTCTCAAAATTCTTAGTTTTTTCCCATATATCGCAACTTCGAATTCCGAACGGTGTTGCCTACAGGCAAGTTGCTATCGATAAATTCCAATTTTTAAATGGGTCACACAGGAAAAACAATAACAAAATAGTTTGTTAATTAACATATAGAAAATAACCAATATAAAGTAAACATTTTTTTATTGTTTTTCCTGATGTGATACTGTGAAAAAGAGAAATTCAAAAAAATGGTTGCTGAATGATGACACACAACCGTGTCGAAACGTATAAATAAATATTTTATTATTTATTTGTTCTCTTTTATTTCGACGATTGGCTGAAAATCAACATTCAAGAATATACATTCTTATATTTTTTATGTATAGATGCACATCTGATTCGGAAAGAATCAGTGGTGTTGTGCTAATATTTTTTTTACCGGAACGCTAAAATTGAAAAACCGGTTCAAAAATCGGTTCTCATGTTTGTACCGGTTCTGTTCGAAAAGAAAAAAACAAAAATCATTACAAAAGCCATTTTTGTAAATTAAGTTAATTTAGTTAAATTTTAAATTATAAATAATAAAATTCATTTATAAAATGTGTGTAGCAATTTTTTTTTTAATTTTGCCGGAACGCATTCCGGCCCAAAAATAATTTGCCGGAACGACGTTCCGGTGCGTTCCGGCTCGACAACACCACTGAATAGAATGTAATATCAGTATTATTAGAACATTATTCTGATTATAATAACTTGTTCTTATGATGATAAACTATTCCAGGCATACGAGCTTTCTACGCTAACTGGAACCCAAGTCATGCTTTTAGTGGCTTCAGAGACTGGACATGTGTACACATTCGCTACGCGAAAGCTGCAGCCTATGATCACTTCAGAAGCTGGTAAGGCTCTCATACAGACGTGCCTGAATTCCCCTGATCCGCCGACCGGCAACCAAGGTGGTCCTGGTGGCCAGGGCGGCGACCAGAGAATGTCGGCGACAGGTTTCGAGGAGACGGAGCTCACGTACAACATCGCGGATGAAGATACCAAAGTAAGACAGTTAGTATACGGCTCTGGCGCAGGCATGTCGCAAGCGCATGCGCAGCACGTTCAGCAACAGCAACAGCAGCACTATGGCGGTCATTTAGACGCGGTCCCATGTCCGCCGTGGGCATGAGTCCGCCAAATACGGGTGGCGGCATGATGGCCGGGCCCGATCAGTCGCCAGCCGGTTATCAGCAACAGCATTGCCCGTCGCCTTTGCCGCATCAGGCACAAGGCTCCTACTTGCATCAGCACCATAACCCGCATCAACAAACCCTCCACCAATCCCACCACAGTCACCACCACCAGCAGCACCACCATCATTCACATGCACACCATCAGCAACCCACGCACTCGCACATGCATCATCATCAACAACAGCAACGATAGTCTATTAAGCTTATATATAGGCTTCATTCGCGACGGAAATTATTTAATCTAAACCAAATTTTAAATATAAGGAGATAAGAAAGAATTTTATAAAATAATTTATTAATTTATAGGGTTTAATTTCTAAATAAATATTAATCATTCATCACCGAGTCACGTGACAATTTTCCGAATGAATTAACAATATATTCAAAATTACATTTATTGTACTACGATGAACAATTTTTCAAATTTGGAAAATCTTTCCAATTTGTGAACAAATCTCGTCGTTATTGAGGCCTGTTTGTCTCCAAACTAAGCCAATTTAAAAAAAAAAAACGAAGTTCGCAAATATCGAGCATTTGCGAACGTTTATTTTCATTCGTAATTTAAGGGGCACAACCGCCTAAAAAAAAGATGATTTTTTGGGAATTTCTATTAAAAAAAAACACTTCATCAATCATTTCAAAATTTTAGTGATATATTTATACATGTTTTAAGAATACATAGTAAAATTTTTGAAGAAAAAAATTAAATATTTTTAAAGTTATCGTCGATCTCCAACGGCGCGACAAAAAAAGGCCCTTAACTGCTGCAGTGATTCCGGCCTTCTACGTGGATGATTCAAAAAAAAAAATATTTCTCGTTAAACTAGATAATATTGTCTGTAAAATGAACTACGATAAAAAAATAAATCAAAAATTGACAAAATGGCGGCGTTTTGAAAAAAAAGTCGAATTTTACCCAATATTTTGGTCGTCTTTCGACTGCCAAATTTCGATTTTCGATCCGATCAAAAAATCGATAGTTCATTTTACGGAGAACTATATACAGAACATGTAAAAAAATTGATAGTGATCGGATCATTCGTTTTTGAGTAATCACTGCAGCAAATTCGGAAAATGCTGTTTCGAGAAAAACGCGTTTAAAGATAAAATGATCGTTGTACTATATACTATATTTATACTTTTTAAATGGCTATCGATATCTCAAAAACTATTTGAGATATCGATTTGAAATTTTAATATGTTATTTTTAAATGTGTAATCTACCGAAATATGAAAAAAAAAACAAAAATCGTTTTTTTCAAAATTTCACACTTGTTGTGCCCCTTAAAAAAAATCCCGAAATTCGCAAATATCGAGCGTTTGCGAACGTTTAATTTTCATTCGTAATTTTTTTAATCATCTGTTTTGTCGATATGCCAAATTATACAAAATATAGATAATTGTAAAAAAATGAAGATACGTTTCATGTGCCATATACATTTAAATCCGCTTTATGATCTTATGGTGTTCAATACACGATAAAATCGATATAGCCTACAAATATATTGTTATAATTTAGGCATAACGACAACATTTTCTATAAATTCAATTCATTCATTAGTTTGTATACGACTTGTTTTAGCCAGTTTTTCAGTAATAATTAGTCACTTGAATCAAGTAATATATGATGATGATGCATACGTACGATGTGCAAAACATATATTTTTAACAATAAACGAATGAATTTATTAAAGACGAAGGTTTAACAATTTTGAACTTTTAAGGCCATTTCATTATTTTCGCGTATTAGATCTAAAGCGATTTTTATTGGGGTTTATTTTTGTAAAAATATTCTTTAGCAACAGACTTTTAGTGAACACGTTTTCGTCGAACAGGTCATTGTTATTCATCTGTGATTAATAACGTTATTGACCATATGGTCGTGCAACCTTGACTACCTCAAACATATGTATTAAAATCTCACGCTATTACTTTTTAGGCGTTTATTACACACTTTAATGCACTGTAGTATCGTAATTATTGTCAATTTCTATGTGTCATCGAATGAATTCAGTATATTTTTTATTTAAATATGTAAATCATGATCAAATTTATTTCCGCAATCCGAAATTCGTACTCTCATGCTCCAAATTTATTATATTATTTATGAATCGATTGAACTCGTTGTATTGCGAACTTGTCCTATTTCAAGATATAAGTATTATTCCTACTATTGGATAAGCTTGTTGTGTGGTACAGAAACTGCGGAGGAAATTACGGAACAAATATCGTAAATATGTTTATATCTAGATATGCGTGATAATCACATGTAGAGATACACACGAATAGACAGTAATATATGTATATAAAAAGTTTGTATTGAAGCGTAGGAAAGCAAGTTTTAGAACTACCGCTGCTTGGCGCCGCCGATATACTAAATATATATTTTCGACCTACAATTTTTATTTTCGTATTTAGTCGGTTTTTATTATTGTTGCTTTGTATACCATTTGATACTTAAATCAATTATTTTTATACATAATTTTGTAAAAATCATTTTGGCAAATACTTATATGATTTGAGTAGCACCAGTCAATTATGAAACAGTTTGGGGTCGCTTTTCTGAAAATATTTTTGTATCATTAAACATTTTGCTTCAATTATAGCAAGGGTTCCAATTTTTTTTAAAGCATGTATATTTGTGTATCTCATTATCATTGTAATCTTCTCGACACAATAATTCGATACATATCAAATCCATTATTTTTATTAAATAGTTTTGTGAATATAATTTGACAAATACTTATATGGTTTGAAGTAGACTCAGAAAAATTATGAAACTGTTTTTTGATATAGATCAATTGAAAATATTTTTGTACCACTAATCATTTAGCTTAAATTATAGCAACAGTTGGAATTTTTCTATAAATAACACGCATATTCGAGTTTCTTATACTTTTGTGTCGTGGACCCCTTGGGCTTTGCCATGAACCCTTGAATCTTTTGCCATGAATTAGTAAGATATCGATTTTTTGTCAGGTTTAATCTTACAACTCCCGTCTAATGATGTCCAGTCTTCATCTTCTTTTTACTCCTAAATCGTTTTTTATCCTTAGTATCCAGAAACACTACAACAGTGTCTCAAAAAGCGCAAAGAATATTGCCAAGTATTTCAATAGTCAGCAAATTGGATATTTTCAAGCCCAACCATATTGCAATCAAAAATTGCTTACCTACTTCATGCTGCAACTTACACATTTTCATAAAATAGAACAAAGAAAAAAAATTATAATAGATTTATAAGTGATTGATTATAAACATGGTGTATTACTCTGTGGCCCTTCACTTTCATTTTGTGGACTCCGATTTTTTTTCGCTGATGTGTGGACCTCCCGAATGTTGTTTTGAACCCCTGGGACATTTTTGGGAATCACTGGTGTATCTCATAATCTTTGTAATCTCGTTTCAATATTTTAATGGATGACCAATAGGTATTAGAATTAATTCAATTCAATGATTGAAATGCTCGTGCTTAGGTCTTTTCAAGCTTAACCATTTTGCGACCACAATTCGAATGCCTACTTATGCTACAACTTACACAATTTTATAAACAAGAAATATCTTTATTCATTTCTAAATATTGTATGACTTTTTATTACTTAAATAGATATTAACGTGGTGTATTGTGATCCACTACCGTAAATCCTCATTTCCATTTTGAGCACCCCGATTTTTTTTCGCTGAATGTTGTCATGGACCCTTGGGAGTCCATGTGGACCTCTTTGGGAATCACTGGTGTTTTTCATATTCTCGATCTCAATTCAATATTTAACGTATGACCGATAGGTATTAGAGTTGATTGAAATTAATGATTTAATTGCTCTTGCTTCTTGGCTCACTATATTGTGACCACAAATCGAATGCCTACTTATATTACAACTTACACATTTTTATGAAAAAGAACGATATTTTTACTCATTTCTAAATATTGTATGCCTTCATTATAGATAGTATATCCACTACCCGGGTAGTATACTAACCACTACCGGTCCAAACCATTGATTTTAATCCCACAATTTATCACACAAAAATTCATCGTCAGCCTTTATATAGATTTGTAGCATAAGACATACGTATTGGAAATTGCAGTCTTTTAAATAGTATAACAATTCCAGAAAGAATTAATATATAGTATCCCCGGTAAAAAAAACAATATCACAAAAATAATTGTTACAATAATGTTGCTTACAATTTTTATAATTGTGTAATATGTATTGTTTTCAGTAATAATTACTAAATTACATTTTTCTTAATATATTACTTAAGTTCATATTTCAAATGAATTAGTTTGTCAAATCATGTTCATATGTGCTCTATTCAATCTACGATCAACTAAATTAGTGCAGTAAATGAAGAGGAAAAGAGTTGTGAAACCTGTGAAATTTTTTACTGTGCTCCAATTTGCATGATATTTTGGAATCTCTTGAACCAACGGTAGTGACTATCGTGGTCCGTCATTTTCTTTTCGCGGACACAATTTTTTTTCGCAGACGCAGAGAATTTCTTACTATGTATTAAGTGTTTTCAGTAATAATAATATCTAAATTACATTTTTCGATATACATTATATTACTTAAGTTCATATTTTAAATGAATTAATTTGTCAAATCATGTTCATATGTGCACTATTCAATGTACGATCAACTAAATTAGTGCAGTAAATGAAGAGGAAAAAGGGTGTAACCTGTGAATTTTTTTCACTGTGCTCCATTTTGCATGAGATTTTGGAATCTTTTGAACCAATGGTAGTGACTACTGCGTCATTTTTTTTGTAGACCTCCGTGTGCTGTCATGGACCCCTGGGGGTCCACTTTAGGAACCACAGGTGTATCATATAATCATTGTAATCTCGATTCAATATTTTAACGAATGACCGATATGTGTTAGAGTTGATTTAATTCAACGATTTAAATGCTCGTGCCTGTTTCGAGGACTT